AGAGAGTGAGGTTAGGCTTGTTTGCCATGCAGTATACATTGCATATCCTGGTAGTTGTGTAGAGATTTTTGTAATTAGTGGGTTATAGTAGATTCTTCAGAATAGTGGGGTGATGGTTTCTCCCTAGTCAATACCATTTTTAACAACATAGAGGTTTGTAAGGCCTAGGTTGGTTATAACTCTGTTGGAGCGGTCAGAGAGAAGGTTGGCAAGGATATTGATAAGAGGTTCAGGCATGTCTATTCTGTGTAGTGACTTTTTAAAAAGGCTGAAGTTGACAGAGTCATAAGCCTTGCTCATGTCATGTGATAGTATCCATAGCTGGTTGGAGTTGCATGCTGCGTCTTCTATAATATTGTTGAGAGTGTGAATTAGAATTGAGGTGGAGTTACCTGGAAATGCAACATAGTTAAATGAGGATAAGATTGAGTGATTGGATAGAATATTGTTTAGCTAATTGGTGAGGAGTTTAGTGTATAACTTTTTAATATGTTCAATGAGGCTGATACGTCTCGTGTTAGCTAGGTTCCCATCAAAAATAGATTTTTTGAAAATGGAATATATCCTGCCCTCTTTCCACTGTTTGGGGACTGTTTGGGTATTAAGGCATCTATTAAAGAGTGCCATTGTGGCTTGTAGGAAGGTTGGGCCTGTGTGTTTAAGCATCTCATAGCTAATTCCAGAGGGCCCACAGGCTTTGTTGTTGGGTAGTTGGCTAAGAGTGAAAAGAACCTTTTTCTGAGTTATGGTAGAGAGTGCTTCTTGATACTAATCTTGTTGAATGTGGGGTTGAGGGTTGTATTCTGTTTGCCATTCAGTATTAAATAAGGTCTCATCAATTGGGCGGGTTGCCGTCCAGTCATAGAAGTGTTGCTGGATATGTGTTTTGATCGTAGTAGGGTTTGTAATCATGTCTTGGTTCAGTTTGATATTGTCAAACTTGACAGGGTCTCTGTGCTGGTTCAGAATACTATTGAGCATAGAGATTAGGTTGGTTTGGAGCTTGGTACATCTTTTAGAGATTGCTTCTGTGATTTGGTGATGTGTTTGTCATATGTTTTCTAGGTTGCGTGAGTGGTACAGCTTTTTCTATTTAGTATTGGCTTTGGTTATCCAGTCGGTATTGGTTGTGAGGGGAGATATTTCTAGATTGTGTAGTCTGTTGAGGTCTGCTATTGAACTGTTTAGATAAACTGAGGTCTGTTGGTTGGTCTTGGTTTGGTGTTTTACAACCCTAATTATATTTCCAAGCTTCTTGAGGCTGTGGTAGAGCTGGGTAGCTTTTGGAGAGAAAGTATGATGAAAGTTACAAACTGTGAACTTTTTATTGGGGATATGCTAGAGTACTGCAGTAATAAGGCTAGTCTAGATTTTGTACCATGTAGTTTCCAGAGACTCTAATATTGTGGGTGTGAGGAGTGTATTGTGATGCTGCAGGATTGTATTGACTTGGTTTGCAAAGTCATCCCACTTTTTTGAGTTTATTGCCTTGTATTCAAAGACTCTTCTTTGAGTACGGGTTTTGTGTCTTTGTTGTCTGGTGGTTGCATAGAGGAAGAGCCAGCATGAGATTAGAATCTTGTGATCGCTTTGATTACTGGTATTGGGTCATCTATATCATATTCTGTGAGATATTGCAGTATTGGTTGGTATGCTCAGATAAAGTCAATTTCACTACTTAAGTTGGCTCTGTGCCATGTGTGTGTGGACTTGTGGGTGTGTGTAGCTAGATCATACATATTGTTAAAGGCAAGAAATTGAAGAAGTTTGTATTTAATTGACTGGGAATGAATATTGTTGGTAGATGCATTAAAGTCTTCTAGAGTTATTGGATAAATATTAAGTGCTTTGGCCTGTTGTAGCTACTAGATTATAGTATTCAGTGTTTGTAGTCAGAGGTGTGCCTCGTTGCTAGGGAGGTAGAGAGAGATAATTTGAAACTTAAAATTATGTTTGAAGAAGAGGTCGATGCTATGGCATATCCGGGTATTATGCTAATATTATGAATATGTGGGGTGAGTATATTACAGACCATAAATGCTGTTCCAGCCTTTGAGCTATCTGTATATGACCAGAAGTAGGTGAAGTGTTGAGTTTTGAAACGCTTTTGGGGCATTGTTTTGCTAGACAGTTTGGTTTCTAAAATGCAGATTATGTCTAGGGCTTGTTGTAGGCAGTAGTGTTCACATGTTTCTTTTTTGGTATTTGTATTGAGGCCTTGTACATTGTGCATACAGATTGAGAGAGTTAGTGGGTATAGGGTGGGTGTAGGTTGGGGAATATTAGGATGGGGGTATTTAGATTTAGTGTATTGTGTGTTGGGGGGTTAGAGAGAGAAGGATTAGTGGTGTGTTGCATTATGAATTTAAAGTGTATCTATTTAGTCAGAACTGACCAATGGGGGGTGTTGGTAGCTATAGTGGAGGTTATTGTAGCTGTGGTCTCTGTCGGTTCAGTGATGGGTAGTTCTGTCATAGTCATGGTTGTGTCCATGTCTGAAATAGGTGTAAGCACTGGAGATGTCTCTTCCAAAGCTGGAGTATTACTTGCGAGTGAAATTATAGTACTGGGAGTATTGGAGTGCTCTGTGGACATATTGTCAAATATGCTCCACTTGGGTGGAGAGAGAGGTGGGAGTTTTAATAGAAAGTTAGAAATTGATTTGATAGTGTAGTGCTGTCTGAGTACTTTTATTGTAGGTGTGATGTTGGGTTGATTCTGGATTGGTAGAGAGATGATAACTTCATGTTTGGCGAGGTCCTTGATGATTTTCTCGATATCCTGGAGATGTCACAAGTCTTGGAAAATTCTCAAAATATATCTTCAACATTAAACATTTCATCAAGTGATAGAATATCATTAATTACTTCTTTAGTGCCAGATCAAAAAAATATTTGCTTTTTTTTTTTTTTTTTTTTTGCAATACATTATTTTTTATTTATTTATTTGTATTGCTTTCTTTTTTTTTCTTTATAAATTTTAATAGACAATGATAGCAAATCTTGAAACTGAAGCAAAAGCATTATTTTTGCAAACAAGAAATAATACTTCTACATTGTATACTGAATTAGTATCTGCTGTATGTAGTATCTCCAAAGATGATAAACAAATACTAGTACTAATTAAAAAAGTTAGTAGTTGTTTTGATGACTACTGGTATCATCTTCTTGCAAAGCTTCGAAAAAGAGCTGACAAGTATTTGAATCAATTTGAGTAAGTTTTTAAAATAAGAAAATAAGATAAAATAAAAACTAAGAAATTAATAATATTGACTATCAAATTATAGTAATAATATTTCTACTGATGCTCAATTACTGGAGTTTATATCAGAGAATATATAGTGTGAGGTACTATATTAATTTCTTAAAGCAACAGAACAGCCTGTCTTTTACAATAATAAAAAAACATAGAATGCTTTGAGTGATTTTATCCATGAAGCAATTAAGAGAATTATTACTTCAAAATTAGAGAAAACTGATATGAAAATAGTGCTTCATAATTGTGATACAATTACAGTTAACTTGCAAATTTCAACTATACTTGGTATTGTCGCCCGATTGCCAGTTCAAGATTTATTAAAATGTAAAACTAGTTGACAAAGAAGTAAATAAAGATTAGTATAGCAGTATTAGTTATATTTGCTATTATGAAAATCAATTATTAAATATTAAATGCTTATTGTTACAATCTGCAAGTAATGAATTTTGATTACAATATTATTTAGCACAAATATATTTCTAATTACTATTTAGCACAAATATATTTTTAATTACTATTTAGCACAAATATATTAAAAATATATTAGATTACTTGATTAAGTTTTTTTTTTTTGTAAAAGTAAAAATGAAAACTCTTCTTATAGATCACTTTACCAAAATAGGAACAAGAAGAAAAAACTTTTCTGCAAGTTTTTTCAAAAACTTACCAAGTAAACAGTTATTCAGCTCTTAAGTAAAGTTACTCAGGCTCTCTAGTTGTACTTAAAAGAGGTGCATTTTCTTTAAAAAGCTCATTCTCCATTAAGTAAATAGCAATAAACTCGTCAAAAGACAAAAAACTAGTTTTTTTATCCTCCTGCGAAAGCTGCCATAAGGAGAGTCAACATTTAAATAGCCCCACCTTAAGCACTACTAACCTGCTATACAAGAACACCAAGAACCACCACAACACCCAAATTACTAAACCTTAGCCCTCCAGCAAAAATATGACCTTTGAAAGCTCCACTTCCTTCTTTAGCTATTTTTTTCTATCCCGCAAGCTCGCACAACCTAGTAACAATCTACCTGGCACCACACCACCAACCCCAAAAACAGAACACACAAAAAATTTTATCAAAATTACTATTAAAGACTGGTCCAAACTTAGCTTTACAGTTAGCTTCTCCATTCCAGAACATGCCAATGACTTCCTCTTCTATATCGATATTACTAAATCAGGAAAAATACCAAATTTGGCAAATTACCCTCTCCAATAGATCTGCAAACACGAAGATATCACCCAATCAGTTCTTTTCAACCTCATGACATAGAAAAACAACATTGTCAACATTAGTACCAAATTTTCCAAAACAACCCATACTTGTGACCTTAATACTACTATATAGGCAGTTGTATATCAGAATCCTGATACACAAAATCTTGACACACAAAATCCCGGCAACAAAATCACAATACACAAAATCCTGACAAATTAAATTCCTAATTTTAATATTTTTAGGATTTTAATTTGTCGGGATTTTGTATATTGGGATTTTGTTGCCAGGATTTTGTGTGTCGGGATTTTGTGTGTCAGGATTCTGATATACAACCAAAAAAAAGTTAAAATTCTATTTAGATTTTGTTCAGATTATTATTCTAAAAAATGCTTATTTTTGAGAGTTTGGGCCCATAGCTTAATTGTTAAGTTGCCAAACCCCCACAGAAATTAAGTCAAGATCCATAGTTTGAGTTGGGCTTGATACAAAAAAAACTCTATAATCTACAGGTAAGGAGCCAAAATCAAACATGGAGCCCCGTAAAAGTCTATATATAGTACAGATTAATAGAAAATTTCTGGAAAGAGAACTAACTATAAAGAGTTGACATTATATTTGGAAAGTGGCATTATAGAAAGTCTGGATAATAGGTTGCACATGTTAATCTGTGGAGATCAAAACCATAGAGAGTTTGCATTATGATGTCATAGAAAGTTTGGGACAAATAGGTGTGTATATAAATCCTCGAGGCATTTAGATAACACCAACAACCCAAGCAGTCTGAAATCTTGTTTGGAAGAATAATATTAATGTTCCAAAACTAGAAGTAATGAGCAAAGTGGTGGATATAATAAAAGATTTGCATAGTAGTACCAACAATCCAGGAGTCTGAAATCTTGATTGGGAGGGTAATACTAATGTCCAAACTGTGAGTGACAAGCGAAGTGGTGGATATGGTGAAGATCTGTAGAAAAGAATTAGTCTAATTAAATTCTAGAAATACTTCTGGTGCCTATATAAGATTAGAAGTTGTGTCAGATATTGCATTATATATTACTAACTTTGGTAATAAGTGCTATGCTGGTGCATTGTTAGTTAAGATTCTAGGTCTCCTTGCAGCACCAAGCTAGAAGTAAAAAATGATCATTAGTAGTATATCTATACATAAAAATAGATATATTGGGAAGTCTTTGGTGCTTATACTAGAGACAATACCAACTTTAATAGCATCATAAAAAGCAAATGGTACACTGCAGAGTAATAATTAGAAATTTCAATAAATCTGACCATGCCTATTTGGAAAGGTTGTGTTTTGAAATACAGATCATGTGATGGCAGCACCCCAAAAGTTGGCTTGAGATACAAACATGATAATGGCAGCACAATATGTATCCAAATCAGAGTAGTACTAAATCAAATATAAGGCTATGTATACCATTTTGGAAGCAACAAGAGTGAAAAACTGTCAGAATAAACCAAACTAGGAGGAAAAGAAAGTTACTGCAGAAAGTGGATAGGGAGACAAGATACTAATAACAATACAGAAAACTATATATAGGAAAAGGTGGGTTATATGCTAGCTGAAAGTTAATTAATAGGGTAATAACTATTAATTAAATTCTAATATATAGCAAAAATATAACTAAATTGCTTGGGGTGAGTATTATTAGATAGTCTAATGTAGCACAACTTAATTCTTATAATATATAATATATAATAAATTTTTAAATTCTTAATTAATAAAAATTACAGTATATAAGCAATTTACTAAAAAAAAAATGCTTATTTTCCATAATAAAAATCTAAACAAAATCTGAATAGAATTTTAATTTTTTTTTTTTATAGAGAAATTAATCACAAAGCATAAGGTTCTTGTATTGTTTGTGGCAACTATAAAGCCTAATCACAATATAAGATCCTTGTATTGTATCGTAGCTATAGAGATTAATCACAATATAAGGTTTTTGTATTGCATAATACTATTTTGATATAGTATACTTATCTTTAACTCCATTTAAGCAACTCAAGCACCTAGTTATTAAATAACATTTAAATTAACTTTCAATAGTATACAATATAGAAATCATATGATAAAATCACAAAAATGAAACATTCAATCAGATACAAAATGCTACACCACTTTACTTGTCTATAAATCATGCTTTCTGTACTTTGTACTATGTTTCCAGATATTTTGCATTCTACCAAAATCTTTATTTACTAATAGACCCAGCTCTAACTATATTATTTCAGAGGATCTTGTATATGCACATTTATAGTTGTGCACTATCAATTGCATGCTAACAAATAAATTCAAAATATATATAAATTATTTATTTAATTTATTTGGTCAATTGATTTGGTCAAACATTTGATTTGATCAAATATTTGATTTGATCAAATAATTGATTTAGGATTCAAACTTTAATTTGAGTTTGTAAAGCACTAAATTGCTATATCACTAATTATTTCCAAATTAAAAGTTTATCACTGCCAAAACAAAAGCTTATCGAATTGGCAAAATAATCATTTGGCTGAAATTGCTATTAGCAAGCTTTTTTGTAAAATTTGTAAAAATTTGTATTTTTGCCAAATTTTACAGATCTGTAAAAATCTGCAATTTTATTTATTTTTGCAGATTAAATTTAAAAATTCTATAAAAATCTGTATTTTTATAGAAAATTGCAGACCTGCACTAAAAAAATTTTCCTGATGTACAAACAATAAGCAGTTTGCTATTTAAATATATAATATTTAATTAGATATTAATAATGAAATTGTTAATTTAAATTACAAAGAGAAAGATCTTTCTGAATTGGATGCAATTATTTGAGCTATGATAATCTTTAATATCTCAAGATTACTATCATTGATTGGTGGCTATTGTGCCTCAACTTATTTGAGAGTATTAGGTTGCAATATGAAGAACTAAAATTATAAACATAATAAATAAAAAAATTAGAATTGGAACTTTCAGTACTGATGAACTATTAGAAATCAGAAATAGCACTTATAGATCAATTAAATTTATATTAAATATTCTTTTTCCTATTTGGCAACAATTGTTTCTTCCTATTTTTACTTTAGAAGATATGAATAAATTAAAACTTGGAGATAATAACTATAATATAAGTTATAAACAAAACTAAATAATAATGACTATTTGTTTTTTAAATGAAGCTAAAAAGGGTTTTTTTTTTTATATATATTAAGGTGACTACTTAGGCCATTGGCATGAACTTTATTTAGGTAGTTACGATATTATATCTGTTTTATAAGGATACAACTAGCCACACATGCATCTTTTGAGTACCTAATTAAAGTAGTCTACCTGGGTTCTACACTAGTCACCATACCCACAATCTAACTAGAAAATTATCTATTTAAGCTCTCTGGTTATTTCTAATGAGAGTACAACTAGCTATACATGCAGCAACTTTTGGTTATCTATTTAAGTAGTCTGCCCTAGGTTTCACACTAGCTGCCATACCTATAACCCAACTAGGAAGTTACACATTTAAATCCTCTGGCTACCACTTTTGTAACATGAAGATAAAAAGGTTTTAAAACCTGACTATCAATATTGATAAGATTTTACTATTTACTGTTTAATTCTATAATTATAAGAGTTTTAATTATTTTATATTTAAGCATCTGTTTGTATATCAAAAAAAAGAAGTATTATACATTGATAAAGGTTGAACAAATATTTGAAGATGAGCTTCAGAGCCTTCAAAATAATAGTTTTCTTGACTATAATAATATTTATTGGCAAGTAGAGTTGTATTTTTCTGGAGATTAGAAGTTCATATATATAATAATGGAACTTAATGCTCCAAACTCTGACCATTTTTGTCTATATTTTTATTGCAATATAGCATTTCAGTGAGATATAAATTGAGTCTGGGCTAATACTGAAAATTTAAAATATAATATTATAATTATTATATATCTATATAAGATTTATTTAGTGAAGTAGTAACTGTAGTTGATTTATTATTAGTTAATAAAATCAATTTTATTAATTTAAGCTGATTTTTTAAAAATTAATTTAGTTTAACCAATTTGAGCTAGTTATATATACAGTATATTATACCTGAAGTTAACACTAAAGATTGTATC